AGGGACAAGTCTGGAGTTGAATATTATATCCCAGAATTTAATAGGAAAAATGGAACCAGAACAGAAGATAAAGTACATGAGACTGATAGGTTCATGCATGTACCATTTGAACAGATCCTAACCTGTTTCCTGGCTTTAAGAAAAGTTCCTTAGTATTTCTATAATTTAAGTTAAAACTGGTTTTCTTAATAGTACCATATAAACTTACCATCGAAAGTAGTTAGATTATTTAAGAAATTGTGTGATCAATACAATGTGGGTGGAAAAGGAATAGAAAACAATTGTAGACACCAGAGACAGTGGGAGAAGAGTGTGGGAAAGGACAGAGGGTCTTGAAAGAGGGGTAGAAAATTTTGGATAATAATATGCATGATTAAGTCACTATGCAGTATATTCTAGATGGGAAATCACATTTTGTATGCTGTGATGATGCTTAGGGAAATAATGTAAATTAAGTTACAAAAAAAAAAAGAAAAGTTTTAGAAAAAAAAAATCTATTCGATGACCACAGTTAAGATATATAGCTTCAGCTAGGTGATACTTTATAGGATGCCTAAAGTTGGACTTGTGTTCATGGAAATATATATATCATCTGTGTTTGCTATGAGAATATTTATATTCATTAAGATCTTTAGTAATTCAATGAAAAATGGGGGGAAAACAGTATAGAAAGTAAACATAGATACCAGAGACAGTGTGGAAAGAGAGTGGGAGATGGCTGAGGGTAAGAGGTAGGGAATCAAGGATAGGGGCGTGGGAGCAAAACACACAGGAAACAAGAAATGGAAAATAATTTGTTGACAATAACATGGATGTTGATGTGCTTGATTGCAACAATATACAGTGTATTCTGGGAAAAAAATAAATAAATGAAAAAAAAAAGATCTTCTCCGTTCATGTGGTCTTCAATGGTTTTCGGACACAACGAGGTGTGGAAAAGTAGTGCTCATGCCACACTTTCCAGGGTTCAAAAGCTCATTTGCATAATGTAATTAATCCCTGGAGGGAGGGAGACTGAAGATTGGAGAAAAAGAGATGTGGCACAGATTTGAATAGATGGAAGGAGGTAGGTGGGAGGTCAGCATTTTCTCTTTGTGTCTCCATTTCTTTTCCCCACAGAGGCTTAACACCACACAAGTGGCATGGATAAACCAGGTGTTGTGTATGTACTGCCCAAGTCTCTCTCTCTCTGAAGATAGTATCCCCTGCTCAATGAGAATAAAGAGGACAGCCCTAGTAGCAGGGACAGAAGCTTTGGGATGAGCCATCCACCTTGGCTGCCTCTCCTCCAGTCTGATTGTGTGGAAAGTGCAGTATGTTGGCAGCAGGACCTGATGGGGAGGCCTGAAGATGATTACCCCTGGGATGAATAGGAACAGAAGCACAGTGAGTCAAGTGGACTATGTCACATTGCTTGCATGTTTGTAAGGGCAGCGATCCTCCTGGGCTAGTGACTTTTTTGCTTTATGTATAGATTTTCATTCTCTGGTTTCAGGACTTGCCAGGACCATAAAATATTTCACAGAGGAGCCTGAAGAACATCCTGTTGGAAAACAAGCCATTCTAGATTGAGTAGGGTGCAAGAATGTGTACACAGTCATGGAATTCATCCATCTTGACAGACATCAGAGGTTGGAGAATCTGCCAATCCGTGAGAACATTGGAACCATGTGTGGGATGTGCATGGAGGCACCAGGGTAGAGGGGCCCATCTGAGGGTATATGCTTGAACCTGAGGCCATGATATGATTGTGGTACAGGGAGTACCATACACAGATTCAGACACTAGCACATGGCAAAAAGAGTGATATTACCTCCCTTTGCTGTTTTCGGTATTTGACTCTCCACCCATGGCTTTGTGCTCTACTAGGGTGGAGGCTTGATGGTCATGAAAGGAATGTTTCTACTGGGAAACTTGTGTAAATTTCTTTCAGTACCCTGGTTATTGTGGTATGAGTGTGACAGCACAAGAGTAAGCTGAGGAAAGTGTCTCTATTTGGTGATAAATCTTTATCTTGAAGAAGCGGAGAGTCAGAAGAAACATAATTGAAATCGAGGAGATCTACTGGAGGTGATCATGATATGTCCATGCCCGGGAATATCCACGGAGGCTTAACAGTGGCATCAGCTGTGTGATGGGACAAGAGGTGACAAGGGTCTGGCTACCTGATTTGAGGTGTGAATGTTGGAGCCAGACTGAGCCACAGAGGTTCCAGTTTTGGAATGGATTGTTTCTGCTTACAGCTACATAACCTTTCTGCCTCAAAGCCAATAGCGATGTCATCTCCTGAGATGTCCCCAAGGACACTTATCTGGCTAATATTTGTGTATTTGTGGAAGAGTGCAATGTGTAGTTTAACCTTGCGATCACAAAGTACTGGTGAAGAAAACAAGACATCACGTGACTTGGACGATAGGTCAGGCTTTATTGAGAAAACTAGAGAAATGAATTCTCCCTAGGAGGAATTTATCTAAAAGTTTCATCAAAGGAAGAAGGTAGCATACTGAAAAGAAGAGCCCACTGAGCAAGACAAGCTTACTGTGAAAATGTTCAATTAGTCACCGAAAGCTATGGCAAAGGGAAGAGGACAGGCTCGCTGAAGAGTTGTGGAGCAAGAGGGTGAAGGTCTTGACCAGAGAGTGCAAACCTGCACCCTCACTTCACATGACCAATGCAAGGAGATGGCACTCCATTCCCAAGACAGAAGGAAGAAGAGATACAGGAGGAAGGACAGTGCACCACATCAAGTGGATTCACAGGGTTTCAGAGAAGTAGATGGAGAAGAGGATAGCTGGCAAGAAAATGGCCTGTTGTCCACAGAGAGTAGTCAGCGAATCTGTATCCCCATGGGCAAGTCAGTGTCCTGTGACCAGGATGGTTGTCTGGGGAATTGATCAGCGCAGCAGCCGCCATCACAGCCACAGTCACTGCCACAGCCACAGCCATTTCCACCTTGTCCACCGCAGCAGGAGCCATAGCAAGTGGGTCGGCAGCACACGGTCCTGCAGCAGGTAGTCTCACAGCACGTAGGCTGGCAGCAGCTGGATCCACAGCAGCAGGGCTGGCAGAAGCAGGACCTGCAGCAGCAGGGCTGGCAGCAGATTGTCCTACAGCAGGTGGTTCTGCAGCAGGGCTGGCAGCAGCCACACCCACTACAGCCGGGCTCGGCGGAGGCGCCAGCGGGATCCACCACAGCAGGGCTGGCAGCAGGTGGTTCTGCAGCACGTAGGCTGGCAGCAAGGGGAACAGCAGCAGCTGGTCATGGTGTTAGGTGTGGAGGGTAGGTTCCTGTTCACAGGTGAGTGTCCCAGAATCTGAGAACTTCTTCCCTTCTGGGCCTTTTATACACCACACTCTCAGCAGTGGGACCAATAAGCCGCATTTTTCCTCGTATTTGTTGTTGTTGTTTTGGTCGTTTGTGAAGTCATAGGAAAGTCGTCAAGGAGGAAGTTGTCCCTTTCACATGTGGAAGGTTCTGAAAATTAGTATTCCAATCTATTTCTTAATTAGGGATATCCTTTAAGAAACTTATCAAGAAATAAGAAAGGCTAGAGTCATCATAGTCTCGATTTGTGCTCACATGCCTTCGATCGGTCATGGCCTAGCATCCACTGGCTGGAGTGAGAGTGTGGGCTGGATATCACACCTGTGTGTCCGGAGCGATGTTTTCTTTTTCTTTTTCTTTTTCTTTTTCTTTTTCTTTTTCTTTTTCTTTTTCTTTCTCTTTTTCTTTTTTCTTTTCTTTCTTCTTATTTTTTTCTTTTTCTTTTCTCTTTTATTTATTTATTTTTATATTTTACCACAAACATTTACTTTACGTGTCTAAAAATTTTTGCTCAATCGCCATAGTTCTTGACAGTTAATAAACAACTTTCAAAATTTTGAATTTTAAAGATAATGATCAGAATATTTCTCATAATTTTGTATAATTTTGTTTGCGACTCTATAACGACAGAGACAGTATGGTTTTAAATATTTTTGAGAAAATATTTACATGTCAACTACTCAAAGTGTAGAAAAGCAAATGCCCAGCACACAAGTCACACATAATCCTTCTCAATTCAGCCCTGCCTACCAAGTATTCTGTGATATACCATCTGCTAGCAAAGATCAGTCTCTTTTTCTTCCTTCAGAGTCTTTCTCAAGATAATCCTCTGGTGCAGTTCCTCTTTTGCAATCTCTACTGATTACAATGCTGGGCTGGAAAAGTCCAGATTATTTTTTGTTATAAATTCTTTTATGTATCTTCTCTAATCTTCTCTGCTGGGCTGAACTATTTATGGTGCCAGGCTATCTTTCTAAGAGCTTCTGTTGGCTTGCATGAGATCCACCTTAGTTCCACAGTTTTCTGATTAATCTTCAGGTATGCCATTCTAGTCAAAGTCCTATCCAATAATGAATATTTCCAGTTTCTGATTCAATGCAACAAGCATTATTGAACTTATACAAATAACCCTTCTTCCAGAAAATAAGAATACTCCCCAATATTTTCCAGTTCCAGAGGGGTCAGGAAGGAAGAAAAGTTTATGTTTCTATTTAAAGAAACAAAGAAGAAAAATATTTTAACAAGTTACTGAACCTATCAACAACTCAAAAGAAAGTAAAATGCTTAAATTGGGAAAACAAAACATAGTAAAAAAAATCAGTAATATTTTACTCAAAAGTCATAAAATTTTATTTTGTCAGTTCAATCTTATGTTCAAACTTTCTTCTGTTGCATATGCAGTGTTACTGTGGTCTAATCTTTCCATTTAAATCCTGGAAGTTAACATTCAGCGTTATTATTGATATTTCTTGTCCCTAGCATTAAATTGGTCATTTTCTTGGTTGCCTTTTGTTCTCTTATTTCTGTATGTGTCTTTAGTTTTCCTGGTAGAGCACTCCTTTCAAAACTTCTTGAAGAGTGGGTCTGCTCTTTGCAAATTCTTTCAGACCTTGTTTATCTGAGAATGTTTTTATCCTTTCTTTTCATATGAAAGATGATCTTGCTGAGTATAGTATTCTTGGTTGAAATAGTTTTTCACATAACACTTTGAATATATTTTCCCATTCTTTTCTTGCTTGCTTTGTTTCTGATGAGAGGTCTGAGGTTAACCTAATTTGATAATCTTTATAAGTAACCTGATGTTTCTCTCTTGCCAATTTTAGTATCCTGTCTTTGTCTGTAGATTTGGCTAGTCTTGCTATGATGTGTCTTGGAGAAGATCTTCTTGGGTTATTTCTCTTAGGGGCCCTTTGTATACCCTAGGTCTGGATATTTGAATGCCTCTCTAGATTTGGAAAGTTTTCTTCCAAGATTTCATGGAATAGATTATCAATGCCCTTATTATTAGTTTCCCCACCTTCTAGGATACCAATTATTCGAATATTTGAGTGTTTAATGCTGTCTAAAATTTCTCATATAATATTATCATTTTTTTTGGTTATTCTCTCAGTTTCTTTTTTTCTAGATCAGAAGTTTTGTCTTCAACATCTGAGATTCAATTTTCTGTATAGACTAATCTGCTTTTAATACTTTCAAGAGAGATTTTGATTTCCTGAATGGCAGCCTTCATCTCTAATAGCTCTATTTGATTCCTTTTATGGTGTGTATTTCCTCTTTCAGATCATGGAAAAACTTCAACACCTCCTGGAACTCATTGTCTCTTTTCTCCAGCATCTTCTGGAGTTCATTATCTCTCAGCTCTTGCATCTCATTTAGTTTTGTCACTATGAATATTCTGAATTCTCTATCAGGTATTTCTACAAATTCTACTGTACTGTCTGTGGGTGATGAGGGATTTTTCTTTTCCTTTAGGAGAGAGATATTTTCTTGGTTTCTCATGTTTCTTATACCTCTGTGGTGGTTTTTGGTCATTGTGTGACAAAATCTCTCCTCCACTTGTCTGAATATTTTGGGAGTCTAGAAGATGGAGTTTAGAGGATAGCTTCCCGAACAGGCCAAGACACACCTCAGCTTTAAAATGGCTTCTTGTCTGAATATTTCAGGATCCTCTCTTCTCTTGACTTATTGTTTTTGCTCTTTCTTTGTTGTGGTAATTTGTATAGGGCCATGAGAGCATGACACTAGATGGGATTATTCAGGGTGGAGTTGAATTTATGCTTGGCTTCACATGTGATCACCCAGAAAATTATGACTCAAGGCTGCTGTGGATAACTGTGTTTTTACCAGCATGCTCTCCATGTGTATTCCACCGAAATCAGAGATGTTTGCATTGTAGTTGAAGGGTACAAACATTTGTATATAAAATGAGTATGAAAATAGGAGATAGAGACAGAAGCAAAACATTGTCATTTTAGAAAGCTTCCTCCTGTTCCTATTTCCTGCCCATGTTTACTTCTCGAGAAGGAAACAGTTTGAGGGAGAGTCACTGGTTTCTACTGGGCCTTCCCAGATGGCACTTTTCCCAACCCAGCCTCCCAAGGAAAGCTTCATTGATTTATTTCTTAGTTTTGGTCATGTATATTTGTGTGTGAAGTGCAGGTTGAGCCACTTTCTTACTGACTATCTTTATTTTAATGGAAGGGGACAATGTCAGGAGAGATTTTGAATTCCAATGCTATTGTTTTGTAAGAAATGGAAATGCCTTTGTAGTCTCATCTGTGATCCAGATTGCCTGATCTCATTGTACATCACGTGGTTTTTGCTGATCCTTGGACACATCAAACCTTGTGGCATGGGCCCTGTGGACATGGGATATTCACTTAGTGGTGTGCATCTGCTTGCTCAGTGATTTTAACTTGATGATTTTCTTAAATTGGTGTCATTGTTCATGGGTGGCTGATAAAATCTATCCTGGGTTAGAGAAAGATACTGAGGGAGTTTCTTATACATGGGAAGCTGACAGGTCTTCTGTCTTTGGCTGTGGTGCACTGTGTCCAAGAGGAGACATGGGTTCACTGCTCAGTTGGATAATGAACAGCCCTACTTAGCCTTTATGTATTGCTCACTCAGAGTGTTCAGGTCAGCACAAGTGAGAAGAGAGAGTGTCCTGGAGTGTTACATGAACATGCATGTTGTCCTTAGTGTGTGCATGCCTTTTGAGCTTCCTAGGAATATTTAAGAGCTTACAGAAGCTTCAGTAGTTGGCACAGAGAGGGGTGAAGCATTAAATCATGAGGTGGCAGGGCTTTCTCAGGTAGGATGGTATCAGATTTGTGTCTTTATAGCTCCATGAGCAGGCCCAACAGTCCTGTGACTGATATCTAATGTTGCCTGGTGGTGGGGATAAATGATGACCCAGTGACTTATCTTGAATATAATTTCTGTTCCCTCCTCCCCCGTCCATGTCTCTCTTTCTCTGTCTCTAGCTGTTTGTCCCAGCATCATGGTAATTCAAGGGAAACACTGGTGTGTTGCCTCAACCTAGTCCCCTGGGAACCTTCATTGTCTCCCTTGTCATTTGAAGGTTCTTGCTCTTGTCTACTGTATGGCTTTCCTGTATTAGATTGACCAGTCCCTGAATGATGTGGTATGAAGCAGTTGCCTCTACATGTTCAGAGCCAAGACTCCCAGGAACAAGGCTTTAACACTTAGCAAGGCAAGATCACTTCATGGAGATAGTCTTGCAAGATGGGCTTCCTGGGAAGCCCTTGACAGATGAAGTCATGGCAGTTCTCCAGAAATGAAGTTTGAAGCTCTAGATATGTCCTGTTCTTGCCTGTGGCTGTCAGGCAGAGAGATTGCTTATTATTAGAGACAGGTGGATTTTTAAGACACTGAAAAATGAAGCATCAGAGGCATGGACACCACTTGTTGGATACCAGATCACAATTGAAAAAACTATGAATTGCTTTGAGGGAATTCTTCCAAGTGACCGGTTGGTGAGTTCCCCACACAGTGGCAGTTTCACAGGTGAATCATTGTAATTAACACAGCATGGTTTCAGGTCTTCCAAGACAGTGGAAATCTCCCCGGTGAAGAGAACTTCTGATCTATATGATCATAAATGTTGGTCGGATACCACAAGGTGTAGG